GAATGCAAGCTGTGCACATCACCTTAAGGTAAGTCTTCCAAGTGAGACCTATGCCTAAAAATTAGGGTTCGCACCAGCTCTCGGTGTTCCGCCTGCAGGTTTGGAGGCAGCGTATCCATGTAGGAATCCTTCAGCGGCTTCCAGCCTAACTGCTGCGGATCCATATAGATCATACCACACCTGGGAAGAACAAACAACTGTGGTACAAGAACAGATGCTCAAGGTGGGATAGTTCAAGCTTGAGTGCTTTCATACTACCTGCTGACAGTTGCTGGAGATGCCTCCTCTAAGTCTGCTGGCTCAAAGATTAAACTCATTTTTGAATTCATCTGAATTATTTCACCACTCATTAAGCACAGCTAGAAGGAAAGCATCACACAAACATGATTTAGTCATGTCACTGCTGATCACTCAGTGAAAGCAATGCTTGTCATAAAATCACTGAACATCCTACTTAGTGTCACTTCTCATTCACTCATTCATGTTCTCATAGCATGTGATATTTTCTGACCTTGTCTCAACTTTTCTATCTGTTGTTGTAATGGCTGGCAGAGACAGAGAATAATCCTAAATCTTTAGCAAAAGCAGTAATGACCTGCAGCTTTTTTAGTTAATTTATTCACTGAGTAATTTAAGCAAGTTCAGTTTTCAGTTACGGAACTGAATTTATGTATTTCAGTTTTCTAAAAGGGTCAACAAACAAGCCACAGTAAATAACCTTAGTTCAATAAAGTAGGAGCAAGACAAAGCTTCTAAGCATAAGTAATAGCCAAACAACCTCTACTAGACCAAGTGATATAACTGCAGAAAAAAAGTCATGCCTTCAAGCACAGAAAGCTTTTCTCGAGGCTCACACCTCAGCTTCTTTATACCCCTAGACCATCATGGTCACAATATTACTACTACTAAAATAAAGTCCAAGTATCAGGTAACTGGCAAAAATTAGGCTACCTTTTTATTGTCATCCAGCACAGTGTTCATGTTCTCTATCCAAACTGCATCCACTGGGCCATCAAATATAATCCACTTCCGATCATCTGTGGTGGAAGAAGCTTGTTCCCTGAAGGCATTTGCAAGAACTCCATCTGTCCACTCATGGCTTACAGGATCAAAATTGCCATACAATTGTCCCATAGAAATTGCTTTGGGATTAATAATTTTATATTCAACAGCAAATTCTTCCATGGATTTTGCTGTGTAAGAAGAAAATAGGGTAGCTTGAAAAAGCTGATAGGAATGTTTCTACTCTGTACTTCATTTGTTGAATGAAACTAACCTGAGAGGATCACACTTTAGTCGCCAAAGGCAAAAAAGACTGGACATTTGGAAGCTAGACAGCAGTAAATAACAACTTCCTTTACTTGTTCAAGGACAGTGCAAAGTGCTATGAGCAAAAGCACTTGAGAAAAGAAAGAGCACAGAGCAGAAGAGATTTTATTCATTTATGAGATCTACCTACAATCTCCCCAACAGTAGATCTCTTGAGTGAAGTGTCATTATCTTTATTTAGTCACTTTTCAGAAAGGTCCCACACTTAAAATGCTATTATTTGATGAGAACATACAACAACAGTGGAGCTAGTTTTGCAAGAGTATAATGCACCAATACAATGCTTAACAAAATCCATAAAAGCATTAAATGTATTAGTGAGTTTTCTGTATCAGTTTAAGACAAAAATAATTCAATGAATAGAAATTTTCCAGTAGAGAAAGCAGAATATACCAGAATTAACACCTGGGCATATAGCTCTGCAAAGAACATTAGTCATTCATTTAAGGAGGAGTTTGTTACCTGCACACAAATCACCAAGAGCTCCAGCTAGCACTTTGTATGCACAGGTCTTCCCACCCAAAGGATCTCCAACAATCATGAAACCATGGCGCACCAACATCATTTCATATACCTGTATCAGTGAGAAGAGACTGATTCTTTAACAGAGCACAGAAGTAAGCATAACGTGTATGAAACTACAGGCATCTTTCTTGCACTCAGAGGCACCAGGACAAAATATCAGCCAAACACCTGCACTACATTAAGGCTGGCTGAAGTATTGACCCAAATTAGAGGGCAGTCATATTACTATGACAATTCATGCTGCTGTAATTTAAGTCTTTGCCCTCACTTGGCCTCTCTTTCTCCTTGCTACAGACCAACCCTCAACTGTAATAGAGCTAACGTTCAGGAGGTGAGTACACTCACCAGCCACTGCTGTTCGCAGCCCAATGTACAAGCATAAACTGAAAGTAATGGTTATCAGTGAAGCTAATGCACAGGGACATGAACTACAGTTCTGAGCATCTGATGTAAACGCAGTCCCACTGAGGTTCTTGGACTGCAAGGCTGGCAACTTCTTCAGTTTCACCATCAGAGGTTGCCAGAACTCGTGTCAAAGCCTTCAAATTGAACATTTTATACTTTCCTCAACCTCAGTGTGGAATTTTTTTAATTTCGTTCAATCTTACGCAAGAAAAAAGTACCAGTCAAACAACAAATAACTTTTCTCCCCCAATCAACCTGAATAAATCCATGCAAACCCCTAAGAAGATATTCTTTATTCTACATTAAGGCTGATATTTTCTGATTTAGCTTAAATTCCTAACCAGTTCATACTACCCTGTTTAAAGGAAAGTAAAGCATGGGTTATAAAGCACTAGGCTGTGTTACTCATAAGAATAAAAAGTTAATCATCCTTTAAAGGTCACCAATACTAGCAACTGGAAGGCAAAGGGGATACAGTGAAGGACAAGCGAGGGCCAGAAATGCCACCCCTTTCAAGACTTCTCAAGGAGACTGTGAGCAGAACCAGGAACAGAGCCTGACCCAGTCTGGAATTCTATTCATTAGGCTACTCAGCCTCATCTGTTAAGAGATTCGGTTTAATTTCTATCTTGAATCATAAGACCTAAGATGTGGCTGCACAGATTAACTCCTTTACAGACTGGCTGAATTCAGAAATCAGTGCGATCAAAGTGGGCTTTTACTCCATGATTTCTTCTCAGTAAAGACAAGCTGTTTGCAACGTCCTATGAATCGTTCATTTAAGCTATTAAACTATTCATTCATGACATACTTAGACAGGCAATGAAGAATGTTTCTTGAACATCTGTTCATACCTTTTTTTTTCCCTCCTCAAAAGTAAGCATGTGAAAACAAACCTGAATAATTTTTCCAATGAACCACGGAACTGGTTGAAGGTCCATCTTTTTTATATTTTCATTTAACGCCTGGACAAACAGCTCGTAGTCTGGTGTAGGAAGAACCACTCCAGGAAACAGGTCAGATATAATACCCTGTTAAGGAAAGATGGACGAGAACACTATTTAAACACAGTGCACAGAAGGGAGAACTCCAAAAGCATAAAAATCTACAAGGAAAACAATACTCATACAGGTAATAGGAGCTGAAGAGGAAATGTCTTCTGAAGGACTAACTTAACTGCCAGGCATAAGCTATAGCCATGAAAGCGGATCTTTGCTGAGAAAGAATTCTACTGTTGTGCTTTTAAATGACTTGCTGATATCCTCCACCAGGTAGGGCTAAACGTATTCTGTTCTGCATGAGAGAGAAACCGGTACCTGTGTTTTTCATACATACACTAATACTGAAAAAGGAAGCTTAACCTTCTGCAATTTTGCCCTAAAATGTACTATGGAAAAGGATGAGAAATGGCTGGAAGAATTTAAATTATTAAATAGAAGGGTACGTGCTCTGCTTTTTTCAGAGCAGTGGCTCTGCATGCGCTTGTACCCTAGTTTTTTGGTCTTTAAATTAATATTGATTGCTCTGTAGTTTAATATATTCATTACTTTCTGCAACAGCAGCACAGAGGCAGAAACTTCACTGTTTTCATTCTGACTTCAAATTTCTAATTGATATAATGTAAGCTGTCCACATCTCTTTTGCAGTACAAAGCTAGAATGCAAACTGCAAAGAATGGTTTCCACTGATGAAATAGAAATGACATGTTAGCAAAATATCTTACATGACATTTTACAGACCATCTCAAAAGCCACCACTAAAAGTTGTTTTTCAAAACAATACTAACTGAACCAAAGAGTACCCTCAGCTGGATCAGCGGAATGAAAAAACTGTACACTAATAGGGCAACATTTGAATCAAACTATTCTAAATGAAGATCACGACCTGCTTCTGTAGATTCCTACAAAAACATTCAAAAGAATCCTTGGCAAAATGCCACACACCTCATCATCGCAGAACTCGAACACATCTACCTGATAGCTTACCTGAAACAATGGTACATCCTGAGCCAAGAATTTGGCCAAGTTAACATCCAGCAAAGCCCGAAGTAACAATACACTTTCATTTTCAACTGGGTACTTCAATTTTAAGTTTCCTGCTGCTGTCAGGACCGATTTAACAGCACGCATTCCATAATCATAGTGATGCTGAGATGACAGCTGCTCCGAGCACAAACGATAAGTGGCAACAATTTTTTGAGCAAGACTATGGATATTAAAAAAAAAAATCACATTTAGAATGAAAATATCTCACCAAGCAAAAAAAAAAACCTTGAGAACCTGTATGCACAATGTCACTGTAGTGACTATCAGGTATGTCAGCTGACAAGATGGCCCAAAATGCCTAGGAAGTAAAAGTATAGATCGTGACGTGCCAGAGAACCTGTGTGCAATTCAGGAGTTCTGTTTGATATTATGATACATTTTCCAAAGAGTTTGGTGTAGAGGTACATATCTGTCAAAATGAGGTGGTAAATGAGGATTAATGATAAAGCAGGAGATTAAAAAGTATTTACTGGGGAAACAGAACAGGGAAAGCCTCCTGGAATCATATGCCTTAAACATATATATAGTTATGCAGCCCTTGTAGAGGAATGTGAGCTATTTCAGACTCAATCAGCGTGGAAAATTCAGTGTGTCTTACCTCCGAGAATCCAAAAATCCCATCGAATAAAGTGAAATTTCTCCAATCAAAGCATAATCTGGAACCATCATAGCAACTGTTCGGAACAATGCCTGTAACAAACAAATAAGAGATCAGCTTAGACTATGGAATATGGTAATAACTTGTGCTCGTTTTGTGAGAATAGCAGTTCTCCATAAATTCACAAACATCTATACTCTGCATTCCATTTTCATGACTTTAGGAATCATCTGAAATCAATGGGACTGAATTATAATTGTTACTAGAACTGTGACCTTATCGAGAGGTCTGCACTAAGCATTGTGGGTACAAATATTAAGAAAGAGTCATAATCTTAAAGAACTGTTACTACACAAAAAGGGAGGTGTTATTCATTCCACTTTTATAGTGGATAAACTACCACATAGAGTGATTGATGACTTGATTAAGGTCATGCAAAAAATCAGTGGATAAGCTAGGAGAGAAAACTAGGACCATATCAGGCTTCCTGGAGCACACCAGCAACAAGAAATCAGGATTCCAGATTTACCTTTAGATTATCAGGTAGCTCTGCCCGTCCAGCATACCCAGGATTCATAGTGATAAACACAGCACAGGTTGGATTAAGAGAGATCTCTGTGCCTTCAAAGATGAATGTTTTGAGTTTGCGAATAATAGCTTGCTGTATACTAAGTATTTGTTGTGCGACTACAGATAATACTTCAACCTAATATAAACAGAACAGATTGCAAAACATAAGACAGCTGGAGACAATATAAAATGCTTTTATTTATATATTTTGATGGCTGTATACTGAATTCCCCCAAGTAAAAAAACATCTGGTGTAAGACCCTGTCTGATAACTTAGCCTAAGTATTAGGTGTCCATTGAAGCAAACCTCTGAAAGCTAGTGCCCCCCGTTGTCTATTCAACCAATGCAGAGAAGTCAACAGAGGCTTCTGAAAGCCTCCAGAGGGAAAAAACATCTGCCTGAATGTAGACATTTAAGCTAGGTGGACAGCAACTCCCTCTGGAGGCCTCCAAAGGCACTTCCTCTCACCTCTGACTACATAAAGAATTGAGGCTCTTCAGAAAGACTGATTCACTCAGTGTCCAAAATTGAGGGGCAAAGTAAAGACCAGGCAAGGCAGGCCAGAGCCAATCCTCAGTGCCTCAGAGTATCAGGATAACAGAATATTGGAAACGGAGAACACTGACACCTGAGTTCATTAAAAACAGGCTACAGCAGATAAACGTGATGGGAAAATGCATGCGTTAAGGAGACTAAAATATAAAAAATAGATATAAGACCTAATGCAATTCCCAAATGTATTAGTATTGTCTTAAATCTAATTCAATCAAAATAACAATGAAACTTATCCAAAGTCATTAGTGACCAAATTAAAAAAAATAATAATAAGACAAAGTTGGGATTAGACTGTGTCTGGTTACATAGCTAGTTAACCAGGTCACTCAGTCAGTGACACTCAGCTAGCCATCACAGGAGTCACCTCACTGGGGTTTGCCTGTCTTGTGCGAGAAATGGACAAATGCAGCCCCATAGCTGCATCATGGGAAAGGAAGAGAAGGACGATTCTTTCCCAACAAAAACCTGGGGTATCTTATTACTTCCAAGACAAGGGAGCTATGAGTGCCCACATACGAGAGAAGAAAAGTCTTAGAAATTGTATAGTGACAATTTTTTCACCTAAAATAACCTGAATCCCACATTTCTGCAAAAAAATAGATACAGGCATGAGCTCCTACAGCAGACAGCTATATATTTACTTCTGTGCCCGTGATTATTAAAATAAAGAGGCTCCACTACAAGCTAATGCAGAAAACTGGCAATAATGCTGTCATGTCCAAATCTAAAACTATTCCTGCATCTTAAATTAAAGCTTTGTCATTTTATCTTTCTCAGTTAAAAAGTTACCTCAATTCTGTTGAACTCATCAAAGCAGGACCATGCACCAGACTGTGCCAGCCCCTTGAAGAACTTGCCCATTGCCTTGTAATCAAGACCATCCGAGCAATTAAAGACCACGCACTATAACCAAAACATGCAGAGAACATCTCTCAGTATTAACACAAAATTCACAATACAAAATTCTTAGCATCTAGAATGGGAATAATTCCGCTAATTTTGGATGACAGCAGTAGTATAGACATAGCTGTGAGCTATGAACTGTGAGATCCCTACTACGTCTGTGAACAGAGAATAGGTAAATAGCAGTGCTTTCTTAGGAATAGCACTTCCAGAAATATCCACATCTCCAAATACAAACAATCCAAAGAAAAAAATGTCTTTATTTTGGTACCTGCTTAGCTAGAGCTTTCGCTAGATCTTTTGTTGTTTCTGTTTTGCCAGTCCCAGCAGGTCCTTCTGGAGCACCACCAAGATTTAGTCTCAAGGCACCCATTAATGTCCTACATAAACAATAACATATGCATCAGAAGTGCAGAGTCTCTAATGGTAGATTGTTTATGAAGGGATGGTCCAGGATGAGCCTATGTATGTTTCACTGGTAATGCCTTACTTGTCTCCCAATGACTTCACATCTTGCCCCATGGGATCAGTATTTTCTCTTAACTGACTTCCAGATGTGGAAGCTCCCATTTATCTGCTTAGCCTACAAGGTACCTCAAGAATTCTCAATACATGCATTAGCATCTATCTCCTCAACTGCTCAAACACATAGTGCCACAGGACAGACGGCGGAGTTTGCACGCTTCCATCAAGTGGCTCTCCTCATGACAAGAACTTGAAGCTGGCTTTCCAAATGAAGCCAATCTTCAGAAAGGGCTGAGAAAGCACAGATGATGTTCCCATAAATCTGAGAATTACCTTGCTCTCTGAGTGACTGCCATACTAAAAACACACTCCCCATTAAAGAGCGGAGCCATGTAACAGATTCCTGAGTCTACAAGAGCCTCATTTAAAGCTTTTGCCCCAGAAAGTGATTGCCAAGTTCTGTTGAAGGGAGTCTGCTTGCTCATCTCTTGCACTGAAGCTGCATCTAGCACAGATGAACCCACAGTTTTACTAGCTAACACTAATGACAAAGACCCCCTGTTTACAGCTAAGCAACCAGCTATGGCTCTTTTGACACCATTGTGAACGCCACAGCCTACAGCAGAAGAGGAAACCTTTGCCAGCACAGGAAATGAGAACACACAGGTTGTATGTGATGGTGAGTTCACAGCTGCTTAGCACTGAAGCAAAACACCATATACTTGCCTAAAATTACCTGGTGAGATGAGGCATGCTAGAAGTGAAATATCAGATCCCCTTAGGAGATGAAGTGGAACTGGAAGCTAACTGCAGTTGGAAGCTAACTGCAGTCAAACATCTGTGAATGGCTCTATAACTACCTCACTTATTTTACAGGCAGGCTTACCCTATCTGTAGGTCTATCTCAAATATATTATGGGGTTATATATATGTAGCCTGGCAGCTCATGACAATGCAAGTGTAAAGAACCGTATAGTTGCTCCGTGTGTGTGTGTGTGTGTGTATATATGCGTGCGTGTACACACACACACACACACACACACGCACAAGCTGCCAGACTTTTTCAGAAGCACATTTTTGGATACTACAGAGACTGTAACTCTATTAGCATAGGAATACATACATTGTAAATATTATTCCATATTTGAGCAAAGAAGATGTACAAGATTTGTCTCCAAAACTTACAGGAAGATGTTAGGTGCTGAGGTTCCTCCTATTATTAACTGTAACAATTGAAATTAAACATAGATCAATCCAAAAATGAAAACATTATTCACAGACAACATGGCTTTACCTATAACATCGATCTGTCAGTGGGGTTATAACCAGGCGTAAAGAATTGCCCAGATACTCATATCCATATTTGGCTTCTGTTGTAATCATTCGCACCATTACATTCCTATCTTCCCAGTAATATCTCAGCTGAGAAATCCACTGGAAGTCATTAAGGTCTGTGATTTTGTCTTCAGCCAATTTTGCAACCACATCACGAGCTGCAGAATAAGAGAGAGCTTATTAAAAGATCCAAACCCATCTACTGCTCTAAATTTTAGTTTACTCAAAACAATGTTTAAGTAAAAAAAAAAAATTTACTTACAACTAAATATAAGCAAATCAACACTTAGAGCAGTAGGCTGGCTTTCATTTCAGAATGAAAGATGTATCTGTTTTGTTTAGGGAATCATCCTAATTTGATCTAGATTCCAGTGCTTATTGTAAGTAGATGGGAGAGAGCTGTGCAGGGCTAAGCAATCTCCATCAGCCCAACAAGGCTGTGCAATCACTCTGTAAAGGCTATTTAAAGCTAGGGGCTGAAGGAGGCTACATAGGATATTTGCTTACCACTACTCCAGGAAAAAAAAAAAAAAAACAGTGCTTCAGTTAAATGCTTGGTAGAGTGCAAAATCCCTTCTATGGTCAAATTCTGCCCTGACATATAGGCCAGGAAAGGCCAAGAAAGTTTAGGCAGAACGCAAGGCAAGTTCTGTTTAGGACAGAACGTGACTCTAAACACACAGTGTGAGATTCTCAGCTGCTACAGAGTAGCATGGTTGACCACTGAATGATGTTTAAATATTAATGTTAAAAGCTTCCTTTCTCTTCCTCTTTTCTTTATATGTTGGAACAACCCAGGAAATAAGTTTAGTGTTATGAAATATTAAACTGAGCTGAAGAGAGTTTCAATGAAGACTGCAAGCACTCATGAAGAAAAGTTCTATTCCAGTACACAACTCACAATAACATGTGCTAAAATAAAAAGTGAAATATTTTTTTTTCACTGTCCTAGGATGATCTAGCAATGTAAGAAAAATATTTTAGAGGGACAGAATAACACTTTTTAAGGTAGAGTTTTAGACTTCCGCCTTCTTCAATTATTGCTGAAATAACTCATTTAGCAGTGTAACATTTCCCAGCTGTTGAAAAGCAGTTCTTTTCTGGAATTCTGTGTGAATATTCTCAAATGTAACCACCTCCCCACACCCAGGAATTAAAAACACAATCTCAAGATGGAAAAGAAACAAAAACAAAACTTGAAAAGCCCAACAGATAAGCAAGATGTGTACTCGCAATGTTGTATTTAATTGTAACCACAGCAATCAATGCTTAATAGGTAACCAAAATACACTTTTCAGTTGACTCATATATTGCATATGTATAACACCTGTTTAAATACCTGCAGATGTAAAACTTTCTAATACTCTAGTTGGACCAGGACTATAATTTCAGGGTCTTCAAATTACTAGTCTGAATTCTTCCCAATATCAAAACTTTGATCAGCGCAGAGAAGATGGTGAGAGGTGTCAAGGATCTTTGTTGTGTTTTCCTGATCCTTAACTACACATCTAAATTCTCTAATCCCCAGCCTCTAAGGGGCCTCCCACCAGCGCTATGTGTAGTGGGAGTCTATTCCCCCAAGGATCAAAGGTGCCATTCCCTTTCTCTACAGCAGAGGTAAAACAGCAGCTATACTGCTTCTGCTACCTTTACTCTAGTGGAGAGATTCCAAATACAAAGAGCACAGCCATCTTGCTTGCTCCTTTTGAGCAGCAGAAAGGCTGGCATAGCTAGAGAATGAAGCCTGCTCTTCCCAGTGAAGGTGTACATAGCTTCCTCCTCAGTCCTGCGGCTGGAAGGAAAAGGCAGACTGATCTAAGAAACGTTGAAACTAGGCAGCCCACAAAGGTCGCTGAAAGTTGCTCAGGCTGCAAGCCCAAATAAATAACTTAGCTGGCTCATGCGGGAGTCTAGTCTGTCTACCTCACCTTCATCTCCTGAAAACGAAAGTGAGTAATGAAATATAACCCTTTAACTCATTTTATGGCACAGTCCTTTCGCTGGAGAAAACATTCTAGCTGCCTCTTTCAAATAATTCACCAAAATAATGATAGCAGCATTGCCTCAGCTGTAACGAGAGTACCGGCAACTGCACATTTACCATGTACATCAATGACAGTAAGCGCCCCAAGAGTTAGCCGGGCTCCACTGGACAGCTTTCCTCTCACTAACTCAACGATGTCTCCAATTTGCAGATTGCTCTTCTCCAGGAAATCCTGTTACAGAAACAGGACACAGGCATTAATGTAATGCTGCAGCTAACAGTTCCTACCTCCCATGGCTGCAGTCATTATAGCCAGCCTTCTGCAAAACATAGCAACGGAACTCCTGGCACTATACAAACATTTAAGATTCTCTTTCATATATTGCCATTTTATTTTACTATGAACACTGCAAAAAGCTTTATGGTCTGAAAGAGAGGGAAGTAGAAGCCTTTTATTTCTCCCTAATAGAAATGACAACATTCTGTACCAGGAGATGTGCAGATTGTCTCTGTTGAGTAAATCTGGATCAAATTTCTTTTAAAATTAATACTCAGCAAACTGAAGATTTTTCTAACTTTACTATAAACATTTAGAATTACTTTCTCAGAAGTCTTCATTAATGGCCTAGACAATAGGACAGAGTGCACCCTCCGTAACTTTGCAGATGTTATAACCGAGGAGGAGTGGCTGATAGACCAGATGGCTGTGCCAACATTCAGAGGTACCTCGACAGGCTGGAGAAATGGGCCCACGGGAACCTCATGAAGTTCAACAAAGGGAAATGCCAAGTCCTGCACTTGGGAAGGAATAACTTCATGCTCCAGTACACTCTGGTGGCCAACCAGCTGGAAAGTAGCTTTGCATAAAGGGCCTTGGGGGTCCTAGGGGACACCAAGTTGAATGTAAGCCAGCAATGTTGAATGTTGGCCAAGAAGGCCAACAGCATCTTGGGCTGCATTAGGAGGAGCATTGCCAGCAGGCCGAGGAAGATAATCCTTCCCCTCTACTCAGCCCCAGTGAGGCCACATCTGGAGTGCTGTGTACATTTCTGGGCTCCCCAGTACGAGAGAGACACGGACATAGTGGAGCAAGTCCAGCAAAGGGCCATCAAGATGATTAAGGCATCGGAGCATCTGTCATACAAGGAGAGGTTGAGAGAGCTGAGTTGTTTAACCTTGAGAAGAGAAAAGTTCAAAGGGGATCTTATCAATGTGTATAAATGCCTGATGAGAGACAGTAAAGACGACAGAGCCAGACTCACAAACAGAAATACAAGAAATTCCATTTAAAAATAAGAAAAAACTTTTACAGTGAAGGTGGTCAAACATTGCAACAGGCTGCCCAAAGAGGCTGTAAAGCCTCCATCTTTGGAGATATTCAAAACTCGACTGGACATGGACCTCAGCAACCTGCTCTAGGTTGCTTTGAGTAGGCGGGTTGGACTAGATGATCTCCAGAGGTTCCTTCCAACCTCATCTATTCTGTCACTATGTCCTTTTCATTTCTTTTAATCTATGGATTGTTCAGGAGAATTTCTTTGAAATCACTACATATCTTCAGTTCATCCTATTCTGATTGGATACATGGAATAAGGTCTTCAACTGGTATTAAACAACACAGGCAAGCTAATTCTGGGAAATTCAGTAAGGATATAGAAACAAAAGGTTAACATTAAAATCTAGCGTTTGGTGTAAAAATTATGACAACTTCACTATTTCCATATTCAAAAAGCAGCCAACACAATCTGCTGATAGAATTAAGCCCCAAATAAATCTTACACCATCCACCCAACTCTATTAGGATCTGACAAAAGCCCACTGAATTCAACAGAAATTACATCCATTACTTGAGTGTGCTTTTGATTAGCCTCAGAGAAGTAATACCCAAGACCCTTGTGATGACAGAGGCACTTCAAATACACAAGGAAAGCCCCTCGCGCAAAATAACAACCTTGGCTGCTATACCTTTATCATAAGGAGAATCTAGCAATAACCAACCAAATAACTACACCATCCTGCAAAAAGAGACTTTTTCCTGCTGGCTCCCCTGTGGCTTCAAATGTAAAAACAGGAGTTACAAATAAAAATACCTGACAGTAATCTATAACTTTTGGCTTGGCACTTTTATTTATACCAATAAGATCTTGTAAGTGACAAGTAATAGGATTTCCTTCTGTGGAACTACTGATTTACACAAAAGCAAATGAGAATGAGTTCCTGCTAAGATATAAGAAAATAGAACATAACACACACTATGTGAGTAAATCGTAATACACTGTTGGCAGAGGATTTTCTTTGTTAGGAGGAGACTGTTATTATTAGCACAAAGCTCTGATTAAATAATAAAAAGGAAGAAGAAAATCTTACGAGCAAAGTTCCCTTGCTTATAGCTTCAGACACTTCTTTTGTCCAGTAAATTGATGAAACGCAAATAACCACCTGTCCAGGCCATTGAAGCACCCATGCTTTTCGAGGAACCTTAAAAAAAATTAAAAAAAGTTCATTCCAGAGAGAGAAAGCCGTGCAAACACATTACGTAATGGCAATGATAAAAAAAAAAAAAAAACAAAAACCTTTGGGGAGAGAATTGTTAAATCTCATGCTGAAAAGAAATAAGACTCAGCATGGAAAGCTTTATTAATTTTCCTTCAAGAAAATCAGATGTAAAACTTTAATCTGATACTACTGAAGAGGATCTGGATTCCACTTAGCTTTGAACAGTTTCCAGGTTAAGATGAATTTGAGCAACTTGTTTCACACTTGCTTGTGAAATCTGTTTTATAATTTAGAAACCAATAGTTACCTTAACATACCCTCTTATGCCATCTTGAAGAACCTTCCTTATACTAGCCAGCATCATTTCCTCTACTTGCAAAAGCCATTTCTCTACCATGCCCTTCAAACAAGAAAAACAGGTAAGAGTCAATACACATTTCTTGTTTAAACTCCATTTAAAGAGCAATTGTGTTAGGCCCCGTTTAATTGCATTAGGCTTAAATATGCTTTCATCTGCTCTGGGTGTGGTACATAGGGGAAAAAAAAGTGGAAATTCCCTAAATTCTGACAAGCGCTACCATAGTGTAACACTGCCTGAAGGAGGGAAATCAAGGAAAAAAGGGGATGCTTGTAACTCCTCTCTCTTTCGTTATTACGCAGCAATTCAGTTGCACACCATCAGGTGGGGCACAGCAGAAAAAGCAGGAACTCAGATACATCTCCAAATTTAGAAACTTGAAGTCTGCAATGGTGCAATTGTGATGACCTAGTTTTAATTTAAACACTCTCACAATTATCTCATATTCACAGTGTACCGTCATGGCTTAAAGTTCAGTTTATATTGTGAATCACTACTGGTTTTAGCAGCAGTTAAAATGGTACGAGTTACTCCTTTCACACACCAGTGGGAGACATTACTAGTGTGGGAGTACAGTAACAATGATCCTGTAGTTTCAAGACCCACGGCACCTTCTTTTTGTCTTCCTGCCATTTTCTACACTGCCCAGCTCCTCTTCTACCTTCTATAGCCACTGAATAATCCAGGTCTCACAAGCCTAATAAAACAGTGTTCAAAGAAGGCAGTGTTCCTTTACTTGGCTAGATGGCACTGTTTCTACTCAGCTCCCTTTTATACTAATACTCTGCATCTTTAGCACCAGCCATTCATCTTTTCTTCATTCCTCTGTTTCTGCTGTGGTGTGCAATGTTATATATATTTTAAAAGTAGTAGATGCATAAAGACGCAGAAAAGTACCTGGAGAAATGTACCAAAAAGATGGAATGCCTTAGTCCTTTTAGTAGAAAAGTCTTTTTGAATGAGAGAGTACTGGTCTGCACCTTCACTTCCTAAATACCTTCCATGATCTGATCCTAAAAGTTTTAAATTGCATTGCCCCCAAAACATACACTTTAGGCAAAGCATTAGTTTAAAATTATAGTAAAAATAAATTACTTTTGCTTTCACTGGATAGATTTTATCTATGAAAGGAACAACTTCTTTCTCTGAACTGATCATGCCTACGATCTCCAGATCTTCTGTGAACTCCAGTTTAGCAATTCCTTCAAAACACTTCTTTAAATGTGGCTGCACTCGAAGGGGATCCTTTGTTTCAGACAGTATTTCAAGCAGCTCATCGTTAGACAGGAAAAAGAATCTGTTAGCAGGATACAATTAATGAACATGTGCTTTCCAAACATGAAAATTGTCATTAAGAATCTATTATACACCAGATGAACTGAATTGTTCCTCTTCCTTAGAATACTATTATAACAAAGAAGCAATTATCTCAAATCCCTTTTCTTGAGCAGTTTTTAACATTACAGAACTCATTAGACCTGTTTTTTCCAGAAGAATTTCAACATGTCCATCCTTTTATGCAGAGGAAGAGAGAAGAAGGGTTCTTAAACCCACTCAGGAAAGACCAGAGAGATCTATGCAGCCAGAAGAGACCTTGCAAAAACATACAGTCCTGCTCCTCATAATCAAATATAATCTCTACATATTACACAGCTCTGCACAGTTGAAGAGAGTAGGGCTAGGCCATAACTTGTGAATCAGCCACGGAAAAGTGGCAAAATCCCTCAAAAAAGCCCTGTGACAATGTGTTTCTAATCACAAGTTTACACCGTGGTGAGACAGATTTTGCCTCCCCACCTCTGCCTGACCCTGGCATTGCAAATTTAGCTGGAGCTGAGGAAGAGATATTGACGTCTAGAAAGAAGACTAGGTCTTCCTTCTTTATTATGTGGGATTGTGCTTATGAAAACATGTGCTTATGAAATGATACTTACCAGCTCAGTAGAAATGGTTTCAAAGAGTGTATGGCTTTCTGTCTCTAACTTAGGCCTGTTTAATTAATTTACCTTGGGAAAAATAATCTTTTCTTCTCCAAGTAAGTATTCAATCCCTTCTGAATGTCTTCTAAGAGAGTATTTGCTTCCTGAAGTCTGTCCAACATCATGGGTTGTTCAGTTGCTACAAGTACCTTTGTGTCTTTTGCCTTTATAAAAAAAAACACTCAGCAGAAACTGCTAAAAGTTTGTATTCAACATGATTGGGATATGTAATTCTACATTAAAACTGTTATCAATGATTACATATGTTGCAAGAGGCTAAAAAGCTAGATACCGTTCTCTTTGTTGTGTGGCTTTATATTATTAAACATAAATAACATAAATATATATTATTTGATAGTTTTTGGCTTTTTCACATGATCAGTTTTACCTATTTGAACAATACAGACAAAACTACAAAAAGGAACATACACAGGAATTAAAATCTTTACCATTTTCTCCTGTGTCTTGGGCTTGCTACATTTTTTCCTAAACACAAATAAGTTCTGTCAAACACAGTCACAGCATGTCACATTCATTCTCTGTTCTTGCCATCTAAGTTGCACTTGCACTTTCTGATAACACTCTTATGTTCAAGGCTACACGGATTTCAGAACAGGCTTCATCATTCACAGGGTTTGTGCTATTATATACCTCTCAACTTCTATTTTGTTACACTGATTATTTCAGCACCTTCATCACAGGCTGCCTAATGTTTTTGCGAAAGATCTCAGCTCGCACTGCCACTAAGTATCTGGCTTTTTAACCAAGTTCTTACTTACAGGAAGCTGAGAAAGGTTCCCCAATTGCATGTATTATCCCTATGGACTTATCCTGACACACTAACAGCTCACAGAAGTTTCTAATAACCATCTCACCACGTACTAGAGAACAATCATATGCAAAAAGAACATTTTAGTTGCTCTAATACTGTGTGAGCCTTTAAAAGCCTAATCCAAAATCCAATTAAATCAAGAGGAGACTTTCTACAGATTGTCAGGGAAGTCTGAGGCAGATACTGCAAGCACAAATCATTCATCTTTCTACCTAATTCTCATCATTTAACTGTACAAAAGCCAGAAAATTTAGAATTAAAATGCTAACTGAGCTGTAATTCATCCTGCAGTATCTAGCCTCTACGGAAATCTCACAACAGCAGTGACTTAATCTACCACTCTTACTGCAAGACTAGATTTTGGTGGGGCTTAGTAAAGGATTTCCCATTCCTGATTACAACTTCTTGTGATTTAAATCCAAACATCTAACTGCAGAAGAGTGAATACATCTTAACAATAATAATAATCATGTTATCAATGTACATAAAATGCACACTTTATTAAATGCAAGCACTTACCACTTGTGACATGATGTCTTTCCAGTATGTATCCACAACTCCAAACTTTCTACCTTCTTCAGGCATTTGAGCTATAATGTCTTCTGAACTAAAAATTGGTTCCAAATACAACCATGTTGCCTGACATTTTAACCAGTTGTCTAGAATACCTTGCATTAAAACAAGCTTTTCTTCCCAAGTCTGCAATTAAAACATTTAACACTTAAGACTTCTAAGCAATCACTTTAAATCGCATATTGATTGAGTGACTCTGTAAAATCCCAAGTTATTACTCAATTTAACGCAGTGTCTTCTGCATTACATTCCTGTGTGGTTATTCTTAAAGGATTAACATACTAAACATACTACTCTAATAGTTTCCCCTATATTACTACAACCTTACTGGAAAGAGAATCTTTAAAAACCCCTAAAAAGTCAGGGACTGACAATGCAACACTGACTCGTATCCTAGTACCACGAGTAGTCCTATCCACATTACTTCTGCGAAGGAAGACTTCATGTTTTAACAGCATTCCAAGACTGGTTTTTCCTTCTCTGTAAAGTAATTGATTAGAAAATAAACAACTCTCCCAAGTCTGAAGGAACATCAGACCACAGCGAATGCTTCCAGGAGCTTTTAAAGTACTTACACAAGACTTTGTTTTTCAGCAGTGAAAAGTAAGGCCATCTCTTTCAGTCCCAACCACTTACTCTGTCCTACCTATACTGTAGATCCCCATGGTCCTCACGGAGAGGATGATGTAGTTCACCACTTCTGCTAGCATCCGTTTGCAGAGATGACTAAACTGACTTTGCAAGGTGATCAAAATGAAAAATAATCCATAATTCTTTTATTTTTATGAATCTAGAGTATTTCAGTCTGGTTAGGACAACAAAGAGGGCAGTGGATCAGCTGGAAACTTTACTCAACCTGCTGCTGTCATCACGAAGATGAATCATGTTAACTTACACACAAAGGTAGCTTTGTCATTTAAGAGCTAAAAACTATTTTGATTATTGAAAGAATGGGTATTATCTTCCACCAAAAATGCAAAGTTATATCAAGAATTAATCTACACTTGGCAATCAAAGGACATGAATCATTTGGCACATTAGCTTAAAAAAAATTTTGAACAATTTTAAAATAAGGAAGACATTTTACATCAAAAAAAAAATTTGAATATTCCTTATAAAGAATGGACCCATTCTTGCCCAAGCACTTTTTAAGCAAGTTGTGGGAGAAAAGCCTAAGAAAGAAGTGCAGGGATGACCAGCATGTCAGGTAATCCAGAATCTTGTCTTTTCATGCTACTGGTGTACTTTCCATCTGATCAGTAATGAAAAGATATTAAGACCATGACAAGGCATCCATTACAGTGGGTAAATGTCATTTCACAGATCTACATACAATGGGTCCAATCTTTGGCCCAAATCCAGCTATTTTATGCACCTCTAGCAGTACAAAACTATTCTAAAACCACATGCAGACTCTTTTGGAATAAAGGATTTCAGGTAGCATTGCTTTTGCTCCTCTCACAGTCTAGAGCGTAAGGTATATGCCAGAGAATGTATTTAGTGAGAAAACAAAGCCAGACTGTATTGTTCATTAACCTGCAGGGGGTAAATCGAGACTGTTAAGGTAGCTCTACCTTAGTAGTTTCTGTTCATTCCCCCAGCTCTTGTGGGCAGCAGCTGTACCTAGGACTGGGCTTAACATCCACAGGAAGGGATAGGATTTCGGGCTTTGAATTGCTTACAAATCATCGGAATTACCCAGAAAAAAATTCAAGTGATATCAAATACTCATGGGAAAGAGATTTCTGCTTTCTGCATAATCCTTCCTTTAGAAGTTCATTTTCTTTAGCAAAAATGAACTGCTACAGGAGGCTCTGTTTTGTCAGCCCTCCAGGAGATTACACCTGTACAAACAGGAGGACAGCTAACAAAAAAGGCCTTGAAACTCTTAGGGACTGTGCCAATTCCAGAAGATTACAAATGCATTATCTCTCACAAATGACAGACCTGTGTCTCACCACACAACACAGTAGGATTTGTTTAAATCAACTGACACTTTCCCAAGACATATAACTAAAAAAATCATGCTTATAATGACTGATTTAGCAACGCAATTACATTTTCTTTATCTGCAAAGGAAGCTACCGTTAATTTAAAGCACTTGGAGAAAAATATTAATATTTGTGTTCCTTAGGAACAGTTAACAATTATATAACTTCTTCTCATGCCAAAACACCTTAAAGCACTTGAGGAAAGTCTATTATGAAAGACATGTAAGCTCAGTGAAACCAGCTCTTCCTTACCCGGCATTCAGCTTCTATCGGTTTGATGAAGGGAGAGCCACACATTGTCTGAGTCTTAACAATGTGATCATCCAGCAAAAGCTGGATGTCATCAATTGCTGACAGGATGCTGGTATTCTGTAAATACATCATATTTTGTTAAGGTAAATGGCAGTTGCTTCATTTCACTGCTCTTAAAACTCACATATGTTTAGCTTCCTGTTTCCGCATTCTCTCTGAGGGTTGAAGGTAAGAAAGTAGGAGAAGCAAGACACCAAGAAAGACTGCAACATGTTTGAAGATATCTCAACATGTCTGAAGGTATCTCCACTATATATCTCTATTTCACCAAAAGTCAAGAGAGCGAATGGTGCTGCGAACTGGAAGCTAGCCAGGAATTCCAGTGACTTCTAATTTCATCTTCTGCACTGCATGTGATTTCCTGTGCCTTCTGGACAAATGAAAATTTCACTACAAATCAGCTTGCCATACAAAACTAGCAGAAGGTCTCAAGCTCATAGATTTGTTAGGACAAGTATATTGAGACCATGAGTTAGCCAGACCCTGACACGAGCCATCTAAATACAAGGTAAGATAACGGATAAATTTGCCCAGACTCTTGGGTGTGATTCACTTTCCATCATGCCACAATGAGCCAAGAGTAACTTCCCTCTAATGCTTCTGAACTGCTATGGAGAATTAAAGTAATTCTTTTTAACAATGTATCCACTGATTCCATGTTTACTCACAGTGTCCCTGTACTTCACCAGACTGAAGTGTAGGTTGCACCATTCGGATTTCATTTTCTCCATTGATTTCTCTAAAGAATACTCCTTGCTAGCAGCTGCTCCAATAGGTTCCAGTCTGAATTGGAATGAAATGTATCTTAGAAATGTTTTTGCAACACAGCTAAGGACAAAAAAAGCAATTGTAGACAAAGCTGTATAACTGACTACCTTTCATGCATATTCATTAATAATATCATACACTCCTACTTCAAGGAATATTTTTGGACTTTCAGGGTCATCAAGTTAGAGATATTAATCACTACAATATTAAGTTGGAGATCCAACACAGATAGAAAATTGTGAATGTATGTGCAAGTGTGATTTAAGAGTATGACTTTGTTTTCTAATGTCTTTGCTCCACAAGAACTTTTGGCAATTCCATCCTTAGCTTGATAAAATACAGCTGTGAAAACCTGGAAGTTCTTAACACCAAGAAAACCCTAAACAAACTAGAATTTGGTATCTGACATATGAAACATACTGATTGCTAAATAAGCCCCCTCTAAAAAACTGAGATTACAGTAAGCTTCTTACTGATCCATATATTTTGATAGCCCAAATTCCAATATGTTTAGAAGGGTAGTAGTTTCATCAGGTGAGATTTCATGTCCTACAACTTCACTGATCTGAAATAAAATAATAAATAAAAATCATTATCAGAATGTATGTTTGTAATAGACTTATCAAACAGCAAAAAATAAAAACTAAAGAAATATCAATACAACTCCTCCAGTTTGCTTTTCTGCCATAAATTACTAATTCAAAGCACTGCCTGTACCATTTTTAATTTCTACAACTGGATTTTTTTATGTGACAGAATAAAAGATTTTCTTATTCTGAAATACAGAACTATTACTAATATATGGACTAGTATATTGATCAGTTTCTGAGGTAGACTATTTCCAGTTAAAGTAGACTTGAAGTACCTGCTTCCAGTGTCTCTCCTTCATTCCACGATTGCAGACAATTGACAAGACAGGAAGATGCTGTTTAAATTTATCAAGTTTATATTTCATATTTTCTGCTAAGCCTCTAGGCCCAGGCAAATCCGGAAAACTCTTAGTGAGCTTGTACATAGTCCTCCACATATTCCCAATTTCTTCTGTGATTTCATCAGCATTCAGTTCCTGGAGAGGTCCTAAATGCAGCAGTGTAAAAGAGCACAGAGAGAACTCAGCATAACGGTATCACAAAAGCAATTTATTTACAGGTATTTTTAACCACTCTCCTTTAACGGAAAACAGTTGTGTTACAAAAAATTATCTTAGTGCAAAGTGCAAGTCAGAAATTGTATTTCATACTGCTTAAGAGTGTTTGTTTCTTCAAAATTTTTTTCTCACAACTACTAATCAACATTTGCAGCTTCTACATTCTTCATTAAAACTTAACTAACTGAAAATTATACATTCCAGCAAAGGAACACCAAAGCCTCACCATTCATCCATTCCTCAGATTTGGTATGGAAATTATATGCCGTTACCCAAAGTTGCTCAAACGGTTGTTTGTTTGTAATTACAGTTTGCAGCAGAGGAAACTGACTCTTCTCCTGTTCAAGTAATTCCTCTTCTTTATTAATAGCCTTTAAGGAAAAAAAAAAAAAAACTTATTGCCATCAAAAATTCCTACTGTTATTTAAACATTTTAATAGATAATATTGGATACAATTTGTATGGGTCCTAAAGTTAGTTAGATTTGTAGATTAAGGCCTATGGATTTTAGATACCTTTAAAAATCTGTTTCCATTTAGAAATAAATTATGCACCATGGCATTCAATGAAACTAAGTTTCCCAAGTTACCAAGCTACTTTGAAAACTGGATGTAAGCTCCTCTGTTACATGGGCTCATGGGAATTTTTTTCCATCATGATTACTTGTTTCTACCTTGTATTACAGAAACATAGGGGAGCTCCAGCCAAAGCGGATGTTTGTTATCTGCTGTGCCCATACACAGTAAGAGATTGTCTTTGCCCAAGAGAGCTTACAGTAAAAATCAACATGCAATCATTTAGAGGCAAAAATTATTGCCATCTTCATTTCACAGGTGGGGAAGTGAAGCACAGGTAAACACCATCTGAAATGCAGACGCTGAATTCAGACAGAGTCCCAGGTCTATGCTTTTACAAGGCCAACAGACAATTTTAATCATTCAATATGAGAAACAGGCAGAGAAACTCAGATGTACGTTCCAAAATAATTTCTAACGTTATATATTCACTAAGCCAATTGTAGCGTCATTCAAACTGCATGGATTATCTCTTCATTGTAATCATATATCAAGAAACTTTACCAGCTTAACTAATTATTCTGATCTACCTGTAACAACATATCAATACAGTTTACTCACACTAAATAAATATATTAGATGTTCTTAAATCAGGTTAAGTGTGTTGACATGAAGGGATTGCAGCAACTTCTCTAGGTCCTAAACTGATTTAATTGGTCCAATTTTCTCTTTTGAGTGGGACTTAATTAAAAGCTTGATCCTTGAGCTCCAAATATGCTCCAAGTATTCACTTGACTCACTGTCATTCAGAAATATTAATTAAGCTTCGCAATACCCGTGAGATCCCTCAAAGGTAACCATACTCATTTCCCAGCAGAGATACAGCTAAGACTAACTCTTTGGCCTAGAAGCACACAGGAAATTGGCTGCAGATCCCTGAACGGTATCCAGGAATCCTGAGGTTCAGCTGTTTCTTCTCACATCGGCCGACTTCCCTTTCCCTGATGTAACACTTCTTTAAGGCCTATAGGCAACTTCTGGAAACGATACCAACATTTGGAAAACATTTGTTTTTAACTGGGGGCCAAGCAGAGAGGACTTAAACGCAGCTCTAGCAGCACAAAACCCTGATTCGGGGAAAAGGCCACGTCCCTAGCACCCCCCTCCTGCCACCTCTGCTGCAGAATTCTGTTTTCTATGGATAGCAACCTGCTACTACAGACTGCTTGAAAACATCGAAATTCAGTGTTTCAGTGAAAACATTCCCCTAAAGAAATCTTCCCGACCAAAGACGTTCTTCAACTCAGCAGTAATACTGCATAACGGGGACAAGATATTGGTAACGTGTTTGTGAATTTGGGAATCTTAAAGCCACCTTGACAGTATATGCCCAGAACCCTGAAAAAAAAACCGACAGGAACTAAACTTTCCCTCATGCAACACATTACAAACTCACTCTGTACTTTAGCTGGGCAAATAAATACCAACCTCCAGTTCTGTTACTGCCTTATCCAGATTCCTATTTAACTCTTTAAATTTCTCAGCACTGTTCTTCATCTCTTCCATGGTCATAATATCCCGCTCTTTGTAGCTCTCTACTTCTCTATTATAACGTTCAAGAGTTTCCTCAAACTGAGAACATCTGAGATAAAGAGAACTAAGGTAATACAATTTTCTGCTTCATTTCTTTCAGATTTTGATTATTTTATGAATTATAATAGGCACTGTCAAATGAACTCCGACCTCAATATTAGTGTAAAATAAATACAGATTCCATTGAAAACCCATTAATTAATCAGTTAAATCAATATTATGCAGTTTATACATTTAGAATTCAGGGATGATTTAAAACTCCTGAAACTTACATTTGCTGCCCTTGTTACCCAGAGGAAATAAAGGACGAGTGAAAACAACGTGACAAAACATTTGTAATACTGTGCAAGGCAATATAACAGGATAAAATTGTGACTATTCTAGTAACATCCTTCCTTCCACCTTTCAGATTTATTTGAGGACAGCAATATTCTAATCCACAATATTTTTCTGAAATCTCCACAATACTGCAAGCCAGGCTTCTCCCTTGCCTTCTCACTTGTCTTCCAACTTTACTTATTTGACATTACCTCCTTTTTACCAACATTGAGCTTTTTCTTTCCTTTTGAAATGCCCAGTGAAAGACAATGTCTTGACATCATACCTTTTAAGCAAAGCCATTTCTACGTAATTCCTCCTGCTATACAGCTGGGCTCTACTGTTTTCAAAGATTACCTCAATCTGATCAGGCCAATGGAAAACAGTGCTATTCAGCTTTATGTCATCCGCTAAAATTAAAAAAAAAAAGACACACACACATATATATGTATATATATATACACACACACACACAAACACACATCCTTAAGACACTATCCTTTAAGCAAAGATCTAGTAGAGTGGCTGCTGTGAAGAGTAAGCAAAATAGCTAAACTGCATTTAGGAATAAGTGATATTTCTTTTCTAAGCAGTTATATATTTCAAATTGTTGACTGAATTACCTTTAGTGCAAAGAGAATTGTCCCCTAAAATACGTTAGGTTGAGAGCAAAACTCTGCAGTCAAATGAAGCATGTGAAATTCTCTGAATGGTATCTTAGCTTCTCAGAGGAAATTGGTAAGTGTACCTATTCCAGAATAACTATTCCACTAAACTATATTCCAGTCCAGCTACACAGAGAGACAGACTATTCCAAACTAAATATATATATACCTATAGATAGTGAATAAAAGTAATATTTAAATCATTTTTACTTCACAATGTGAAATGCTGAATTATTCACAAAAGCTACAGTGCAGTAACTACAATGAATATAGGCTACGAGCAGACACTTCCATCTTCGTATTTGTCTATCTGTTCAGTGCACTGGATTCATTATAACTAACTGCAGGACAGGTGCTTACAGACCCAGCTATACAGAATATATAATTATGAAATACTCTGCAGGCAAATACTCTAATCCAAAACATGACAGAAAAATGTCCTGGCTTCCCTGGGAATCCTCATTTCCATTAGAAATAAGTTCTAACAAACATGGCGTATCCCAAATTTTTCCATCACTATTTGATCCGAACACATATTTTATCTAACGAGAAAGGATCATCCTGCCACTAAAAAGGATATAAATTAATGTAACTGGTTTTGTTTGTCTGTACGAATTACGGCATTAATTACGGCACTAATTTTTGCTCCAAACAGAAGTGAAAACTAAAAAGGAATCTCCACAGATGTTTCCTGTAGAATAGCCTTTATTTTAACTGAAAACAGCAAAGCATCACGGTAAAATGACCTAAGGACTCCCTTGAACTCCTCTTTCAATATTCAGCTGCAGAGATGCAAATTCTCACACTTTCCAAAAGTTGCCATAAGGCCTTTGAGACGTGACTTTGCAAATGGTTTTTCACTGAGGTTTTTGTATTGAATATCCTAGAGATACAATATCATCAGACCAGCCTACACGGCATTAATCTGATAATGCCTCAGCCATACTCTAAACCATTAAAAAAGCACTGTCTCATAGGGTGCTTTTTCTCTAAATATAAAGCTAAGATTAAGTAGAAAATGACTGCAAGTATTTTTTTCAATCGTATTTGTTACACATTTTTAAGCACCCTTGGTAAAGTAAGTATTACAGCCAGCCTCAGCTCAGCATAAACTTTATCATTTGGAAGCAGGGTACATTCTGTTCCTAGCTCCACCAGCACATCTGTTAGGGAGTTCCCCTAGAATCAGATGAATGGCACGAAGCCATTTATACTTCTTACACAGCGGTTGTGCTTCATCCTGCTGTAAAGTATAAAGAGTATATCACGTGTTAGTCTCTTTGACATACTGGGGCTTGTCTGTGGAATGGAATTTGCTAAAAAACATACCAAAAATAATATTTTTGGTGTAAAGATCCTAGTTGAATTTTCTTATATTGGAGAACATTTTCTACATACTAGCTTGCTCCAAAATTATTATTCTTTTAAAATTATTTCAGTACACTTCCATGTATACAAAAACCTTTGCTGTGCATTATTTCGCATTTCTAAACTATCATTTCATTATCCTCAAAATCCTTCCAGCAACGAACAGAGTAGGCAGAAATCTCTTTCATTAAGGCCATCTCAGACTACTTGATTTTATTATTATGGCAAGCAATAGCATTGACTGAATCATTGCCTAGTCTATAAAAAAGTTTGAAAGCATTCTCAATATGCAGTCTTTCATCTGGAAAGGAAGAAATAAGATTAGTAGGCTTTTTTTTCCTTCCTGCACTGGTACATTTTTGCCTCTCCTGAATCCTTTTTATTTCCTATCCGTCTCATTTGGAACTTTCCATTAACATTTCAGAAGATGGAACATTCATCTGTCTAGAGCCCAATATCCATATATCCACATGCATATATATATATATACATATATGTATAGGAAAATGTGCACATATATACAGAGGCTTTTATATTCTGCAGTTTGGACCTACAAGGAAGATCAGCATAGTCCATGAGGAATTCCAGTCTGTATGCTGCTTCAGAGATCTGCCGTCTCAGTTTAAAAACAGTAACTTCACTGGACTTCTTTAAGTATGCAGTAAGTTCCACTAACTCTTCAGTTTTTGAAGGTACTTCACTCACTCTCTCTGCAATTATGTTATATTCATTGCAAATGCTACAACAAAAAGAAAATCAACATATCCCTGGGATCACAAGTGAAAAAAGATGCAAAACTTTGTTCATGAAGTTTTTCTTTTAAACATGGATACTAAGCATCTTCATAAATTAATTTAAATAAATAAATGCTTAAGTATTCATCTTAATTAAATATTAGATGAATACACACAGCAGATTTATTAAGTATGCATTTCTTAAGGATGCTATTTTACTCTACACAAGCAATTTTATTGTCCTACTATGTTTACAAGAACTGATACATAAGTGAATGATTGTTAAATTGGTTCTAAATCACCACGAATCACATATTTAATAGGCTCCTTCCCATAGGTTTAGAATTTCCTGCTTCAAGATCTGACTTGCTGAAGAAAGAGAGGTTTGAATGCATTAAGCACCAGCTCACTTAATCACCCCACAAAAACAAAATTAAGTGTATGGCAAGAAACAAACTTATAAAGAGAAAAACTATGCAATGATCAGGTTTATTTTATTTTGCTCATCAGAAGAGAAAACAGAAAGGGGAAAGATCATATTATTTTCCCTCTCCCCAGTGATATATTGTCTTGTTCCAGATTCAAGACCAGTACTGCAAGTATCTACACAGACAGCAGGCACCTGAACAGCAACCACACACAGAGGAGGGGTTCACTTAAATGAACTCAAGCCTTCCAGGTGTTAGGTGCTCAGCCTAAGCTGATTGTCTAGATCTCCTCCACGGTCAGTGGAGACAGAGAGGCCCCACAAGAGAACAGTTCATCTCTACCTGGGGGATCTTTTTCAGACCAGTGGGATGAACCCTTTCTTATAGTGATCGTCCCTCTCCATTCACTGTGGAGGAATTCTTCACTTCCCAGTCCTTTTTTAATATATTTTTGGTTTGTTTTTTTTTTTTTATTCAGAGAGCCATAATTATCCTATTACACTAGAGTCAAATTATATTTTAAAGTTCCCTTTCTTTCCCCCCTGCCCAACCTCTTCTTTTTCCTAACCTGCCAAGATCTGAAATCAGGACCAGTACTTCCCTGGCAAAAAAAGTAAACACAGAATTGCATAGTGCATTCTTTACGTTGCTTTAGCTGGGTGCTAGCAGGGAAAGCAAGGACCTCAACTCAAATCCCAGAAGGTCAGCAAAGGAGGAATGAACAGTGGCATATTTCCAGTGTAAATGTTATGTATGCCCTCCACAGACTAAGCTGTATATTTACTTACAAGCATTTCTGTACCTGTTCCATTTTAAATACATAGCTTGGTGTCCTTGCACATGGCTGGGGAGCCCTAGAAACCCCAGCAGATGAACAAAGCTCTCTCAGGTACTGATCTACGCTATTAGTCCACATGTCTAGCAATAGCTGTGCACGTAACAACAGGTACCTGTTATTTAATGTTCTGTTTTCCATCACTTCAAATTCAATCAATCTGTCTTTAAGATTTTGAGTCCTATTGCAGAGTTCCTCATTCAGCTGAGCTGCATCCAGACAGAACATGGCCAAAGGGACAGTGACATGCATGGACGCAATCTCCCTTTTCAGTTTTGTTAAACTGTCAATCTTCTACAAATGGAAAAGAATAAACCTGTTACTTTTCCTTAAAGTCTGTAGATGAAAAATGCTAAGCAACAACTAACTATTGCCAGCCAGGAAATGGATAATATATTTCAAATAGAAGGAAGAACTCGTTTTTATATTTTCAGAGCTCAACCCCTGTCCTCAGAATCCAGGGTTGAAAGCTCTGCACAGGAAATAAAATGCCATATTTAAGGAATACCACAAATTGCCCACAGGAAGTATGCAGCCAGAGGCTAACCTGAGAATGAAGCAAAAAAAGGGGACAGGGTTGACTAAGGGCAAGAGTCGAAAGACCAGCAGGGTACACAACTCATCAAATATTCTGGGCAGTCCTCCACTGGACTTCTACCAGGAATTTAACCCACCAAAACCCATAGAAGGGGACCATGGAGAAACCTTCTCCCCCCTTGTCACAGGCACCCTACAGCAAACGGTTACGTAAATAGAGATGTTTTCCCTAATGTTTTTCAGGGTAAAACAAGCCATTAGTATGGAAGTTCTTCGCAATAGGCAACATAATAGGAAGTTTAGTATATGTGTTAGCTGCTGTAGGAACATGTAGCAGTTGTCAGTCATGTATTACCTCACTAAAATCTTCTAAGGAATGACCCTCTTTCAAAAAATCAGTAATGTCTTGCTCTGCATTGTTGTTCAAAAGATTGCTGTATTTCCTGTACACGTTTAAATACCTTAAAAAGAGAAGACCACAAAAACAAAGATTCCAATATGAAAATTCTCATCTCTCAGGTAACAAATCAACTCAAACTGCTGAATGTTTGAGTCAAATAGATAATGTTATGAATCTGAGGATTTGGATGGGCAAGGGAGTTAAACAGCCAAAACTTACTTCTGGGGGCCAAGTATGTTGCTCTCAAAGATCTTTTCAAGTTTGTTCACGTAATCTGAAAACAACGATTCATCTGGTTTGACTGTACTGAGAGTGAGATCAACTCTATTTAATTCTGGAAAAAGAAGTCTTTCTACCTAAGGGGAACCATTGCAAATACTGTGATACCACATACAACAGTGGAAATAAAGTACTCTATTACCTATTCACCCGCCACTTTTAAAAAGTATGATTTGGTAGAGAGATTGTAATGCAAAAAGGCTCTGATTCATATTTAACAGTGACTTCAAGCACTCTTTGGTGTCCTCCTGGAACAAGGCTGCAGTCAGAAGCAAGCTTGGAACTTTAACGCTATGTCTCTGGAGCTGAAATACCATATTGTTGAATGCTCAAACCAGCTCTTACAGGCATAAACTCTGCGCTCAGTTACTCACACATTTACATTGTAAGTACCAATGTGAGCATGCAAACAAAGGATTCATATATGCTCTTGGATCCTGTGTCTGACAACTGAATTGAGTTGTTGCTCACACTTTAAGCAGAAACGATGAAACATCCCAAAGGCTGTTGCACAATACAATGGAACAAATGGAATATAGCGAAGTACATAAATTATTTCTGTTGTAGAAAAAACTATTGCTGAAAGAAAAATTGTAGCAATAAAGGTAGTAATCATGCCTGAACAAATTTTCACTTGGTTATATGCATTGCTTCCTTGTGAAAACTATATGAAAATTAAATCAGAGCTTTAATATAACTTGAATCTGAAAAGGAGCAACTTCTATGCTATGTTGCATAATCACACAATTCCTGACATACGACCCTCATCTTTCTCTTTTATATGACAGATTTCTGTTTCATTTGTAACTATATATTTATATCATAGACAGCTTTTATTCACATTGCATTTTGTATGCAGCTGTAACTTATCCAGTACCTTTGGAAGTTCCTCAGCGCTTTGTAGGATCTCCATGAAACAATGGCTGATTAAATCCCAACATTCTTTCAAAGGTGGCTCAAAGACAATCTGGGGTTCTTCCACATTGAGTTTAACTATTAGCATCTGAGGTACAAAGAACTGCATTTCTTGATACGGTTCTGTAAAATCATTCCCACCCTTAGGGAGAAGAATGAAAATTGTACACGCCAAAGAAATCAACTATAACCATAATCATTTAAAAAAGATTCAAATTTCCCCAAGTCTCTTTTTCCTAAACAGCACAAATGGGATCGTCTTTCCTGATTCTTATTCAAAACACTGACGCTCCCGTACACAAGATTTTTACATGACAACTCCTAAACAAATCTGTAAGAGTTGCAATTAGGGAACTGGATCTGAGCCTAATTGCCTCAATTCTCACTAAAGCAACAGAAGTAATGCGCTACCCACTACACAGAATCAAAACTCTAAAAAAGATCCTTAATGCCTGACAGAAATAAAATCCAACATCAAGTGCAAGATTCTTGGTTTTTTTGATTGCTTGCATGGTGAATAAGAACTGTCCTACACCCAAATTCCTCTTACAGTAATGGAGTCCTAATTCATGACCTGAATCCTAATGTAGATGCTCTACTGACAAAAAATCATCAGCGACACCATCATCATTCAGAGACACAAGGCTCAGGATAAGTTTGACGGCGTTATGTGTGATCCTCTGGCTACAATGCAATACTTCATCTCCCACACTCACTCCATTTAAATATGTTTCCTGTTGTCTTATCATGTTAGATCCCGGGTGATGTGATATTTAAAGAATTCGTTTCCACTAAGAGGCAACTTTATGGTAGCCAAAACAGTAACAAAAACTCTCCTAGTCTAATGTTTATTTTTATATTTAAGTGTATTACTACAAAGAGTAAAGGGCATTCAGCTGGTACACACAGGGACACCACATACACCAATTGTCTCTGCAGAGGATTACACACGTGACTATGCACACTTTTGACTTCACAGGGGCTTTTAGAAAAACACATTTAAGTCTTTTGCCCGATGAAAACCAATACAAATAAAATTATAAAAGCCTGAAAAAAGCACATCCATTGAAGACAGAGCTGGAAACTCCAATAGACTGCTAATTATAACCCTACTCCTGCAAATGACTTCTTATGCAAGCAGTTCTTCACCATGCAAAAAAATCCACTCAGTACGCACAAAGGCTTGAAGGATCCAGTCACAGCCTATGAAAGGCAAGAGCTTCTCTGGAATATTTTAGCTTTAAAGAGTATTTTATTTTACGGTTGTATGAATTATCATCTCTACATAACACTGATAATCATAAGCACAGATGTACTTCACAGCTATACCTTGTGGATCATAAAAAATGCAATAAGATCTTCTAAAGAGTTAATAACCATCTCACGTAATTGTAATGACATGAGACTTGCTACTGAATCAAAATAGCTTTCAACTCGCTGAGCGGAATCACAGGCACGTTCAGGAGCAAAATGAAGCCACTGCCTTCTCTGATCGAAGAAAAAGGATACACAAGTTGGGATCCACCTACAATAAAATAACATGAACAAATTATTTGAAAGCTTATTAGTCTTACCTTGCTCCTGACAACTAAATCTAAACTCAGCAATTACACAAAGAATAAGCAAATTCAGAGGGCTAGCAGAGAACAGTTAACTAGATGTCAAACAAAACTGGAAAAAGAAGAAAGGGAGAATTTCCTCTTGAGGAAATTTGATTTTTTAAGCTAAGGAGGCTTGTTATCATTTGGCTCTAGTATTAGTTCACATAAATATTAATAGACTAAACACTAGTGACAATATTAAACAATGAGCATTAAATGGCAACCTTGAGATTGGAAGAGATCTCAAGTGGCAGAATGCAGTCACCTGCTATCACAGGCTATCGCCTCAAAAAATCTCTTACTTAAATTGATTGATTGGTTTTCATAATGAAACAAGTTCCATTTTCTCTCACCACTACTACAGATTTAGATATTAGGCTGGTTTAGACCCCACTCCTCTCATGACTAGGAAACTTCTAATTTCCAGTCTGTATTTATTCATAGTCAGTTTATTCACATTTGTTCTTGTACAAGCACTCTCTTGTAGGTTCGACAGCTCTTTCAGCATCCAGATGTTTATTGCTCTTCTGTATGTCGAGAGAACAAGCACGTTCCCCCTTTGTTTTGTCAGCCTTGTGGTTGCTACCAGTGTCATCTTAGTCGACGACCTGTTTTATAAAGTTGCCTAGTTTCTCCTTGATTTTGTATGTCTTTTAGTAAACTGAAAAACAAAAACTCTGGAGGCGCTGAGACTTGTGGGATACAGAGTTTATTAGGCTTGGTATCTTTCAGCCTCAGCCATTCCACATCTTTCCTAAAAGCGCTTTGAAACAGATAGGGCTCAACAAGGGTTTGCAGTGAACAGAAGACAGAAATAGTTTTAAAAAGGAAATATTTCTATCCACCACCAGATCCATTTCAAACTTCTCTGTGAACAGAACGAAATCCAAGAGCCCTTTCCCTTGTCACTCTAAGTTCAACTGATTTCAAGGGTTTTACATAGAAGGAAAACGACTCAGGCTAATGCCACCACGTTTGGATAAACATTTGAAGTTCAGAAGGAAATTCTTAAGACTCACAGGCTTTCAGCATGCCTGCTTAATTTATTCCAAATTAACTGAAATAAACTAGGATGTCAAGTTGCCTTTAAAAAATATACTTTCAGGTACAAAGCTGTACGATCAATGCAACCCCAAAATCGTGAGCTCTAAGAACTTTCCACACTCGTAACACTTAGAAAGCTTCATTCATTAGATGGCTTGCTTTCTCATTGGCAAATACTGAATAAGCCTATAGTTCTGCAGGCTGCCACCTTACTCTTGTTGGTAGGTTTTCATACTGCCTCTGCTTACATTAAGTATCTACCAGAGATAGTATGGAAAACCTTGTAAGCAATCAACTGCCACCTGCCTGAAAACCAGATTCACTTCTCTGCCTTACAATTTATCTTTCACATCTCAGAGATGCCTCAGGATATAGGGTCTGTTCTCAAACCCAATTAAAAGCAAAGGAGTTTTTCCAGTGACAACAGTATGGTTCCAAATCAGTTTGAGAATGCTTGTCTACTGCTGAGGTCAGTGAGGATTTCGTCCTTAATTTTAGCTAGACGAGGATCCTTAGAGGACACATAGCTAAGGATCTTTATCTTGCAACTAAAGTCTGAATCAATGGACATCCACATGTAATCACATCCTCACTAAAACTAATGAAGTCAGGATTCCTAAGTTAAATGTTCAAGTTCAAGTTCAATATGACAACTATAAGTATTCTGACGTGGTATTTCATGTTAGAGGACAAAATTTTAACATGCAGTTCTTTGTGTAAATCAGAGCCTAAGATAACCTATTTTTCTGCTGTTACTGCAGTTGGCACTGACTTGTTCTGCAGAATATCGCGAGCTTCCACACAATGTCTTCGAATGAGATCCTCAAACTCAGTAGGCAACAGTGGCAGGTCACCACAAAGCAATTCTTTCGTGCGAACAAACCTTAGATTACTATACCTATAGAAAGTAATACAAAGAGCAGATACTTTAAGGAATTCTGTTAAAAAATTATAAAATAGAATCAGGAAGGTCTTGAAAGTACTTAAAAATAATTTGTTTTTCATTGATGCACGTTACTTCACTGCAAAATTGTAGAGCGAGTACATTTCCAATGTTTTTTTTTCCTATTAGCAAATGCTAAGGGCCTCACAAATTTCATTTTGTATTGGCAATACTTTGAACTGTGTAAATGTTCTCTTTAAATGGTTGGAATCATTCTGTCCTTTTCCTAGATTTGTTAGTGCATCCAGACGTTAAAGAGCATACAGAATGACAGTTCCTGCTTCTATTCCACATTAATAGCAATAAGTATCTATCCTGGCTACCCTGTACAGAAAAAAAAAACCCAAAAACATCAGTATGGCATATATCACAGTCTGTAAAAAACAACAACTGAAATTCCTGCAAATGTTCCTTGAATAAAGAAAGCAGTTCTCAAGATTACTAACTACCGTATTTAACTCCACAAGAAAATATGTCTCTCCATTTTCACAAGTGTCCGGTGATTTCACACCTCCAACTGCAGACATTTGAGAGGGACTCAAATTTAAGAGAGGTGGAAGATCCCCTTTTGCTAATTTCAGGAATCAAGACGAGAATCTCAAATTACCTTTTATATGAGGAGGGAATCTTACTTTAACAGTAACATATTTAACCCAGGGGATGTTCTTTTCATAGCACTGAGTTAACTATTCTTGACTGTTTATAGACATGAAATACACACTCACGCTTGCAGTCAGAATCTGCAAGAAGCAATCATTTTATGTTGAGATTATTAGAGGTTCACTATTTTAGTGGGGGGGGGAGGGGGGAATCTTCAGAAGATGGAACAGATTTTGTCACTTTCCTTTATAAACATCTGAACTATTTTCTCTTCATGAAGAGAAGAAATAAAAAATAATTTATCCATGGAACAACTCTAATCTTGCATGCTTGGTTAGAGAAGCAGAAAGAGCAGGCTTCACCAGGATCTCAGCAGCATATGTAAAGAAGTCAGCAGATGCACCCTCTAACCAAGCCATAAAACGGAACATTCTCAATTTAATTACGATGCTATAAACAAGACCCCTTACTCAGAAAGCCAGAGCTGTTGCAAAGCATGCATCAATGGATTCACTGTGAATAGATTGCTTTCATTCCAGCTTTTCACTTCTTCATAAGAGCTATGCCATGGGACTGGGGCACGGACTACTCTCTGGGGAAAAGGACGTGGGGTATTTCCAATAAACAGTCTTTCTCTCTCAGCCGGGTCCATCAAGATGTAATCAACTGGAACAAATCATATGCAAGATTGTGAAACTGCATGTCAAACCTGCATATGCAAGCACAGTATCTCCACAGTTTAGAAAGTCATAGAATTCTGCACGTTTAGAACTTATACAGTATCACACAGCTACTTTTATGCTTTTAGGATGAAATATAGCACAATAATGAATAAACCAAAAAAGATAGACTAAAGGGGACTTAGAATGATATCAAAGATTACAGAACCCAGAGCGGAAAACTATTCACTCCTCCCTTTTTACATTAATCTATAATAAATGAATGAGAGGCCACACCCACTGGTCAACACATTTAAGAAAATTAAAAGGAAGTATTTCACACAAGGAAAACCCAAGAGCCAAATGAGGCATCTGGGTTTTAAGAGGAAAGGGATAATTTTATTCATTCAGTGTAATAAAAGGGGAAATAGATTCCATGCCTCCAGACATATCTCATCTGCAAGAGTTGGGAAGCAATTGTAACTCACCGCACTGCTAATGTTTGATCTTATCTGAAGAAGCAGGCACTGGTCAATTCCAAATGCCAGTTCTCAGAGATCATATATTCCATTTAGAAACCAGATCTCTGATTTTCAAACTCTGGAACTAATTCTTACCAAATATCATTTTAAGATAAACTGTACTGAACTGTATATTTAAATAATGGGGTGTATGGCTTAGTAAATAGCTATTTGTTGAAACTGGAATTTTATGCTGCATGATCATAGATTATATTCTCATGTATCTACTGCAGTTCTACTGACCCCAAGGAGACTCTCCATCAATGCTAAGAACAGAACGCGGACTTACTTTCAAAATGCAAAAAACATTTATGCACTCTGAATTACTAATAAGTTTGGATTCTCACCAATGGCTTTCATGAGGTTGATACGATAGTCTGCCTTAATCTCTTCTTTTAAACTTTCAAGTAAATTCTCCAGGTCTGGGTTAGTAAGAATATGAGCTGGAATATGCTTTAAAATTACATTCATCACTTCCTCGTCCTGAGGTGCCAGCATGTCTTCTGGTACTCCTTTATATATGTAGTAACAGTATCTCTACAACATAATGTTAAAAATATTATGCTTATCGTATGACTTTCGGACAGATAATGATATATAATGAAATATTTTAGCTTTTTGATTTCTTGAAAGCGTCTCACAATTGAAAGGCACTTGAGTATCATGTATTTTGGCTGTCTCTGTCCCTTGGTTCTTTTTAAAGCACTGCCAATGCCTGACAGTCTTACAACACTTCCACCTGTTTTGGTGTAAGCATACATACCAAAAGAACGAAGTGCAGCATATTAAATTACTGATGCCTGGTGCACAAGCCAACAATGTGAGAGGTTAAGAATTTGGCAAGACAGTTTTAGTCACAAACGCATTAGAACGAAAAGCAGACTGAGTAGCCGGAAAGAAACAAACAGAAAAGGTACAGAGTTGACACAAGATTTAACAGCAGTTTGCTACATTGAATATTTACATCTTCTAAACCTCATGCACTGTCTTCCTCTCTCAATTGCTTTTAAGTAAACAGTTTACTGATATATATTGCTGATAGTTATTCTTGCTACTTTTCTCAGCCTTAAAAAGCAGAGTAAATACCTCTATATCATTTTCTGAAGGTGGCTTTTCTCGCTTATATATCTCTTCCTCATGGGAGTGCATGACAACAAATTGTTCTTCTGGAGTCAATGGTTGGTTGTCTGAATAACGTATGACATTTAATTCTGGCATATGACCAGGTACATATAGTGAAAGGGGCTCTGAACTGTTTAACAAAGCTGGCATACTTCTGAAACAAAAGAACACAAATATAGTGAATAAAGAAGCTATAACAGATTCTTAAATCAACCTGGACAAATGAATGACAAGCATATATAAGCCGCTGACACCACACTGAGGATGAGTGTAGCCTATGGTGAAATACTTCAAATTACTTATTAAACACTCAGTAAAGTTACATAGCATACTGTATTACTTTAGCAGAAAGAATGCCATTTTAATATCATGTAAACTTTTCAGGTGTTCAGTGTCATTGAGACAGGCGCTATCTTAAAAGCAACTCCATCCGAGGCAGACCTGCTAGCACTGTTATTTAGGCTGCCTGAGATTTCCCCCTGTTTTCAGGTGATTATCTTACCAAATGCTTAACAGTTTGAGCCAAAAGTTTAACTTGGCTCATTTGCATATACATGTTGTATTACTGTCTTCATTTTCAAGATTATACGCTATTTTCTATGCTACTTTTGCCCGCACTGCTTAGGATGAACAATATTCAGCCAACAAACAGTTATTCAGTATTTTTTATCTTGTTTTTCAGTATGCCACTCTATATTTACTCCACACTATCAAGTCCTTAGTTGAAAAGAGAATTTAAACATCCCTTCTGTCTCCTTTATGGTATTCATCATTATTTTATCTTTAAAAAGTGTAAGAAACTTACTGTCACAGCACTTTCAAAGATTATTTCTCTCCTATTTTACAGATGAAGAGCACAAGCACAAAACATAAATATTCATTACAGCAGAGTGCCAAATTGCAGACAATTCTAGGAGCGTTACAGAGCACTTAAAAACTCACAGAACAACTAAGTGACTTGATTTCTACAAACTACATTTTTATAAACTAAATTCTAGGTTCTCAAGTCAGCAATCAGAAAAGGAAGACCTTTCGGTTAGCACACCCAAGAGTGAAATTTGCCCAGTCACAAAGCAGCAGTGAAAGGTGCTCATTTAGCACACAGCGGAATTTCAGACTTGAAACATGTTAACTTTTTGTACAGGTTTAACATTTCATCAGCATCCTAGTCAAAGAAAAATTAAAGCAGAGCTCGGATACCCAGACTGACTATAACAATCTGTATCTTTGCAACATTACAGTACATTACCTATCAAAATCACACTGACTTCTTTGTGTAAGTTTGAGCCTTTTTGCAGAAGGGGTGAATTCTTTTGAAGCTTTAAGCACCAGTTAAGAAAAATCACGTGTAGGAATGGTATTTCAAATAGGTTATTATTTCAGACTGGTAAAAAAAAAAAAAAGAGCTAAATCAATTACATCAGGTAACGAAATAACAGAAAAACACGACGTCACAAAGAAGGCTTTAGTCTTGACTTAGGCCTTAGCAAAATGTTTCAATCATGTTAAAGACTTTGCTGAGTGCAGGCCTATAACGTATGTCCAGGAAAGCTTTCAGCATATGCTTAAGACTTCAGCGCTTACATACCTCCCTGCAAAACCTCTGTTTTCAGCAGTGGGAACTTCCATCTTAAACTTAAAAGCAGCACAGTAAGACATACAGTTCCATCAAATATACTAAATACGAAAAATCTGAAGAGTATAAACTATTATCGTGTGCTTTTTGGAGTACAAATAAGCAGATCTTTTAAACAAATTAACAGGTCTCGCCTTTCCTCCAAGAAACAGCCTATGGCCTGCTTCCCACATCCTATCCATTTATTTGGGAAGTCCAGCGAGCAGAGGAATCAGGTATATGATAAAGAAACTGTTAAGAGATCTGATGAGCAAAATGAAACCCTTCTTAAATAGTGTGCAAGGGGAATAAGCGGGTATGGAAGCTAATATTTCTCACCCATCCCATGGAAAAGAAACTGAATTTCTAACACTTCAGGGAAGCAAAGTAACAATGCAAGATGAGTGAGTATGTTAACAGATAGACTGACGAACAGTGTGTGGACTTCTTACCCTTGATACAGAAGACATTTAATTAGATAATCAGGAAATAAAGTTCATGACACAATTCACCAGTTTTAGAATTTGTACAGACTAAGAAATGAAGTCAGTTTGATACCTGCAACTGGCAAGACACTTTGTTTAAAAAAAAAGTTGCTTAGGCTGTGTTTGATGTATGTATTGGTAAGCTTAAATAGCAAGGGTTCCACAACTCCTTAAATCCTTATTTGCATTATATCACAAGATCATGTTGAACCAACAGCATATAATATCTCATATTGTAGGATTACATATATACATATGGTTTGCTAACAAATACATCAATTATATGTTTTAGACATAAACCGTGTATTAAACAATGTCCTTTGGAGTTGATCCTCAAGAGAACGCTTTGATGCCTTTTGATGCATTTTGATCCTATCCTGTTTTCTATGCTAGGCTTGTGAGTATGAGCATAATAGGTATGCATGCTGAACCTGTTTCTGTGTTTTGCTGTTGGAACCAACTTTTATTTCTAGCAGTACTAACAGCTAACTTGTATTTTGTCCATTTTTGGCTTTGCAAACAACTCCCTACAATAACTGCATGTAGTTGTTTGGAGGGATGAATGGAACAAATTAATCAGAAATTGGCTTTAGCTTTACTGAAGTTACACTTCATTTTGGAAATGTATCTATAATGACCATGAGGTGATAAGCTTGTGAGCCCTTACCAGGAAAGAG